ATTGCGAAGTTTTTCTATTTCTAAACTGTAAGCTTTTTAAAGCTTAATACCAAGTTTTAATTTTTGTTTTGTGCTAAAATTTGAGATTTTTCAGTATGTGTTACTTTCTAAATCGAATATAAAACTCTTAAGAGTTTCCATAATATTAAATTAGTAAATAATCCAGAGTCTTTTCAAGTCTAAATGTTTAGTTTGTCCTTAGTTTATGATCTATACTATGCCGCAAATTTCTGTGAACAAATTTATTACACACAACTGCTTTATTTAGCAATTTCATATAGATGAACTAATACTTCGTATTTGTGGAACCTTAACRAAGCCAAAGGTGTTGGGCAAAAGCGGCACGTCGCTACCACSTTAATCGACGAACCGCAACGGCTGTTGGACCGGCTGCGCGACACAAATGTTGTACAACAGGAAATCGGCATTGACTTAACCGCAGTTGCAACAAATCAAAAGGTTCTTACTGCTGRCACTAAGGYGCTGAACGAGTGGGTTCAAAGAACTTTCTTGGCCCACACAGTTATGCCATTTGTGGCATGCCRCAGCGCATGATACCTTTTCGTGAGCAAAATGTTGATGCGACAGTGTTTGTTGTTATTGAGTTTACAAGTAGACTTTTTTCGTTTTTGCGTCAAGCTCAACAAACATACATATTTCCTGGCAACCTTTGCTTGCTTCTATATGCWTGTGTCTGGCGGCTTCGGTATTTGTTTCTGTCGCATCTTACAAACGCTAATCTCAGTGATCTTTTGCCATAGCARGTCTGGCTGTAGTTTCTGTTTTTGTGTGCTGGCTGTGTACCTTAAATTGCTACAATGTGTCGCAGTTGGCATGCCATAACAAGTTCAACTGCTTGTTAGTTCAGTTGCTTCTCAGTTAGGCTTCTTCTTTTTGTTTTCTAACATGTACTCCAGTCTTATTTGCTTCCGCGTTTTTGTATGCGCAGTTCTTAGCTTTTCGAGTTCCTTCAACTTGTGTCTCTGCTTTTGGCTTGTCTCAATGTCATGAACGCTGTACTCGTCGCCAGCCGTGGATGCACCTTTTTTGCATAGATGCATATACATAAATAGTATCATATATATTCGCATGCTTTAATTAGGTGTCTGCGAGTGACTTTGTAATGCATTATATATGTTTCTGCMGTTGTCATATGCCATGAGTCACAGGTTTAACGTATTGAGGTTAGGTKCAAGTTTAATGAACACATTTTTTAAGTAAATAAATACTATATATGGAKKCAGCCATGTTGAGATTTTGATAGAYTATGTACTGCGTGATTGGAGCAATTGAARCAAAATAGTTGAGAGCGACAATAATTACTCCCGTATATAAGCAATTTAAGTCACTGTGACACAGTCTATAAAGACACATTTTAACTTTTTTTTTTGCAAATGAATTACGATTTCATAAAACTCGGAAGAGAAGGTTTTTAGGAAACATGTCTATGGAAAAATATAAATTCACCGAAATATATGATTCGATGTTAAAAATTACTTTTGGAGCTGAAATGAGAGGTTTCTTCGCTCGAAAGCTCATCCCTGAACTTTTCGTGTTGCGCATTCTATAAGTTTTGGAGTACCCCGTTTCTAGTTTGGAAAACAGTAAGGAATTTTTCGAACACAACGGAATATACAGCGCAGAATTGAGCTTGTAGTTCAGATTTGTAAAAACTTAAGCGTATGAACCGATTACTTATTGATCAGTGATCAGTGTCWTGGTGTGAATTCGAACCTCTCTGATTCTGACTATATTAAAAAGTATAAGCTTAGATGACAAAATTAGGGTTGCACCAATATTCAAAATTCCTAAGTATTTAGGTGCTATTGACGCGTTGTGATCCCTATTTGGAGACATGGATCCAAAGACTTTTACCCTGCACCTTCAGAGTGTTGTGTAGTCAGTTAGCAGATGTTTTGGAGTTTCAGGCTTCATGTGGATGCACTGGCTATTTGCACAAGAARCTAGGCCCATGTTATATAAGCGCTTCTTGAGCTAACAACGGCCAGTGYGGTAAGCGATAAGTAGCCTGAGTTTATTCCTTCTGAGGTTGATTAGATTTTATGGTTGTAACTACCCATTAGMATGGCGCACGACTTAGATTGATTGTCAATAYCCCTMCCTGTCCACTTCTTCATCATTGGAAGTAACTTCTTTATGGCATAGGAACMATCCTTAATGAAAGGTTCGGGTTCTACCATATAAAAAGAACAAAGTATATTYGTATTTCACTGCTTCGATTTATTTGACTGACATTTCGTATGCATAAAATAATGCCACAATAATACTATATGTTCGAAAATTTTGACCAATTTAATTGTAAAGTCACATTATCCAAGCCTTTACGCGCAATCGTCACCATTGGCGGCAGCAGCTGGACATCCGCTTTGGTCGGTGACAACCAATTGGCTAAGGGAAACACCATTGGMAGTCAGAACATCTTTAGCTTTCGTGATAAGTTCGGCAGATGGGTTCTGCTCACGAGTCAAGATCCAAACAACAACTGTGAATAAAATAATATAAATATATTTAAAGAAACTAAATCTAGTAGTACATACGGCTATGTGAGTCGTCTTGTGTCGGTTGACAGGAGTAAACAACGCTGTAGCTGGTGTAATCGGTGGACAAAACCCAGTAATTGCTTGATACATTATAGGCAGGGCTAACCGGGAAGGTAACTAGCAATTTAGCATTCTCGACCACCACAGCATAGCCAACAATGTCAGAGGCTTGATCGGAGCTAAATAGTAGGAAAATTTATGAAATAAGTATGAAATGTASAAATAGCTGCTAAGAATAGCTGCAAGTCAGGTACAAATCGGGTACAAAATCTATACTTAAATAGGTGCAAATAATTTTCTTTTTAACATGTGAAATAATTATTGCAAAATTATGTTACTCACGTTTCGTCGATCATGCTGTTCACCACACCCACTTGACCATTGTCCTTGAGCGTATATTCAGCCTTTACGCACTTGCCGTTAGCCTCGAAATATACAGGGTATTTGGCATATTCATACCAGGAGCCCAAATACTGTAATATCCRTTGAATAAAATAAATTAATTTTTCTAATACATTTTTGCTACGAGTCRTTACTTACCGCAGCCACATCAAAATCTGGTTGTACTTGCACATCGCACGAACACGCWCCGCTAAATTGCACTTGTGCTTGAGCTATGCCGAAGAGCGCCAAAGCTACGATTGCTAAAATAATTCTGAAAATAAGCAAAATTAAATAGTATTGGTTTTATCTTCGAATGTTCTTCACCACTTACTTTTGCATGCTGACAACTTTGGTGTTCTATTTACAATGTGAGAATAATGTTTAGTTTGCACTGACACTAGCCTTTTTATAGCAAATGAATTGACTTCTTTCTCATAGCTAATGAKGTTCGTGTGCATGTTGGCGAAGCACAGTGTGTTATAGTGGGCAACATTTTGTTGCTAAAAGTGAGGGAAAATTAAATGCAATTTTTTTTAGATCCTAATCTGTAAGCTTTTCCGGAGCTTTGAGTTAAGCTTTTCATATTAAAAGTTAGTAGTTGTAGATCAATAAGGGTGAAGTAAAAGAAAAATAAATGATGTAAATTTTTAGGTCTAAAGCTTTCAGGTTTTCCGGAGCCTTCAGTCAAGCTTTCATATTAAWAATTAGTAGTTGAAGACCGATAGTGCCGAAGTGAAGAAAAAAGAAATGCGATTTGTTTTAGAACTTAAGCTTTAAGTTTTTCAGGGGCTTTCAGTCAAGGTTTTGAAACTAGAAATTGTAGATTGCTAAACACTTATAATTCAATAATTTTTCTGGGTAATGATAATAATTACTTACTGCAAATACTTTGTGATTAACATTTTGAAACACTAAAAACTATCATGCCCACTTTACATTCACTATTTACAATTTATCTCAGCTATTACTCATYGTACTTTCAAATCAATTACTTTCGATAAACAAAGGCATTGTTCGAGTGCAAATTATTGTGTAATATTGCAGTGAAAATATTTGTTTTCAAAACTAACACACCGTTGCTGATAAAATTTTCAATTTTTGCAATGGAGTTTTCCGATAGTGCAAATATTACAAATATTTTATGTGTTACGCTTATAATATTTTTAATTATAATATTATTTTTATCAACAGTATTTAAAAAAAAATTCTAAACATATTTCGGTTTATNTATATGTAGGTGCATTAAAATTCGAATGATGAAAAATAATGAAAAAAATATTTTAATTTGCTTTACCATTTTGTTTTATATATCTAACACTCTAATTGCTTATTAATCGTTTTTAATAACAAATTATGTAATTTATTGATAATGATATACYATTATTATGGTGCCTTGCAGAACAATTATTGCTTTGTCAGCGTGTTGTATTTTTTATCTTATCAAATGCGCGCGCTGCATGCGATTTTTGTTTATTTATAAAATACTTGTTTGTTTTCATTTTMATTTTGCTACTTTATCTGAACAGAGCACTGTAGTTATATACTACACTTGAATTGCCACAAACAATGTCTACAAAGGAAGTGTCTAGTGAATAGTTTATCTTTGATTTCGATTTTTCATATTTGTTTTTACACTTACCTAATTGCCGAGAAGGCACTATTTCCTATCACTTGAAATTTGCTGCACTCGAGAATGCTGTCTGCTATGCGTTTATGTACTTGAATTTGGAACTGAGCGATTGTTATTCACTTGTAGTAGACAGACTTTGCAATTTTCTTTACAAACATAGATTAGTTGAAGATATTTTAATTAAAAAAGATATGGTGGAAGATTGGAAACATTTAGCTGCCTAATTTCCTTTTACATTTTTCGCACTCATTGTTTGGGGATTCCGAAATAATAACATTCCATCGATTTTTAGGATCCCTAAATAATTTATTTTTTTTGTTGATTTTCTAAAATAGGGTGTAATCCTGTCTCTTATACACATCTAGATGTGTATAAGAGACAGCACCCTGTGCTAAATTAATATAATTTTTTTCAATTTCTTGCAGAAGAAGCCCTGTCAGAATTGGATGCTGCCGCTGAAGCGTCCGATTCCTTCTCCACATCGAAATCCAGCATTGAACCCACAGTGCGAATAAAGTGTTTGAGCGGTTCCATGTTGATTACAATCAAAGATGCGCCGTTAAATCATGAGACTGGCCTATTTAGTGGCATGATTTACCCTAAGGGGCTGTCGAAGAATTCGACATGTCTTACTGAGTACAGGTGAGTAAAGTGCTCTCAGAATTAACGTAGCTAAACTTTTTTTCGGAAAAAAAAGTGTAAGCATATTGAAAAAGTATAGTGAATGTGTTACAACAACACAAAATATCAGGTCTATAAGCAATTATTTCTATTTTTAGGGATCATGATGGCCCATTGAGATACAAGTTACCRTTACGCAGTTGTAATACCATGCCACAAGAAACGGTAAGAGGAGAGTGTTGAATAAAATATGCATATATGAATAATAAAACTAGTGGTTAAGTGAGGAAAAAAGGTTGCCAAATGAATTTTTTTTCACAAATTTCTATCACTTCTGATAAAATTTAATTTTGTTTTACTTAAACTAATTAAAATTCTAATTTTTTAGCATAAATACATTATATATGAGAAAAAATGATACCTGTTGGTAATGGTTGCCAAGAATTTGATATAAACTTTTGTTCTGGTTTAAAAATATATTTCTATTTTTCTTTCACACAATTATAAGCATATTTTTAACGAAAGCATTTAAAAAATCTTCGTTATGAGTTACCATTTTATAAAAATAATATTCTTGAAAAAAAAAATGCTCTCTTTTAATTAGCAGAACACGGCTTGCTTTAGTAATGCCATACACTAGTCAGAAAAAGTTTGCGTACAAAATTCCCAGCATATTTGTATGGCTCATTATGAATTTTAACACAAASAAACTTTAATTTTTATGGTTGCATTATAAAATTAGAATATCGGAAAAGAAATTTTCGAAATTTGAAACCATCATAAAATGTGGCAAGCTTTTTTTTTTTTTAAAATTATTAAAAAGTTGGCAACATCGTCGCAGAAAAAGTTTGCGTACAAAATAAAACAAGTGGAATAACAATCGTTTTCTCTGGGAAAAGTCGCACTAAAAATATTTACATCAGTTTTGTTCAAATCAAGTAAACTATTTTCCTGAAATTTTAAACAATAAAAGAAAATTTTGTACAATGGGCAGACAAAGAAAACCAACCAACCGCGGTGAAAGAGAAATCTCTTATACACATCTAGATGTGTATAAGAGACAGCCATTATTATGGTGCCTTGCAGAACAATTATTGCTTTGTCAGCGTGTTATATTTTTTATCTTATCAAATGCGCGCGCTGCATGCGATTTTTGTTTATTTATAAAATACTTGTTTGTTTTCATTTTCATTTTGCTACTTTATCTGAACAGAGCACTGTAGTTATATACTACACTTGAATTGCCACAAACAATGTCTACAAAGGAAGTGTCTAGTGAATAGTTTATCTTTGATTTCGATTTTTCATATTTGTTTTTACACTTACCTAATTGCCGAGAAGGCACTATTTCCTATCACTTGAAATTTGCTGCACTCGAGAATGCTGTCTGCTATGCGTTTATGTACTTGAATTTGGAACTGAGCGATTGTTATTCACTTGTAGTAGACAGACTTTGCAATTTTCTTTACAAACATAGATTAGTTGAAGATATTTTAATTAAAAAAGATATGGTGGAAGATTGGAAACATTTAGCTGCCTAATTTCCTTTTACATTTTTCGCACTCATTGTTTGGGGATTCCGAAATAATAACATTCCATCGATTTTTAGGATCCCTAAATAATTTATTTTTTTTGTTGATTTCATACATGCCAAATTAATGACAGTTTTTAGTTGGTKTAAAATATTTTTCAATGCAACACATCGGGTTTCTGAAATAAGGAAATTCTTTTCTTAATTTAAKACATTTTTCTCRTTCAATGTGACGGGATCCCGATTTACTGCCAAGTATTTTCAGGATTCCGAATTAATGACATTGCTTCATGTCTCAATTCAATTTTGTCTGTTGATTTAAGCCACTTTTACGTTTCGGGATCCCGAATGAATGATATTGTTTTTGTTTATTTACATTCATCATTCCCGAATTGATGATACGTTTTAGTTGATTTAAGACATTTTTTGCATTTAATATTTYGGAATTCAGAACTAAGGACATTTTTTTTCTTAATTTAAGACATTTTTCTAATTCAATGTCTCAGGATCCCGATTCAATGTCACGTATTTTCGGGATTCTGARTTAATGACATACCTTCCTATTTTGGAATACCAAAATACTTACATTTCTTGTTGATTTAAAACCCTTTCGCATTCAAGGTTTCGGGATYCCGAATTAATGACATTTTTTTGTTTATTTCGCATCCATTGTTGTGCGATCAAAATTTGATGAGCTTTTTTGAYTGACTTATGACATTTTTCTCAATCACTTTTTCGATATCACGAATTAATTTTTTAGTTGATTTAAAACATCTTTTGCATTTAATATTTCRGGATTCTGAACTAAGACATTTTTGTTGTTAATTTAAAATAATTTTCTCATTCAATGTCACGAGCTCCCGATATAACGTAAAGTATTTTCAGGATCCCGGAATTTTATTGAGGCGTATTTTTGCTCAATCACATGTGTGGTATATGAAGTAAAATAAACTGACTCTACTTCTAATTTTTTTTCAAGAAATGAGGGAAATATATTATTGGTCAGATGAGAATTACCACCTGTAGGAGGCACCATTTGTATTAAGTTTTTAAAATTTTAACTAAAACTGGACCCGTGTAAGAGAACTATTTGCTTGAAAAACTCGTAAGAAACTTTTAMGAGTATATTATATTATACTCAAAGCACATTTAACACTTGGCTATTAGAAACTGTTAGTACAAAAATTATAAATAACCCTCAGTATTCTGTTATTTTGTAATTGTTTGTGCCATTGACCCCTTTGTATATTTCTATGCTGTAATGTTTATATTTTTTTTTGCTTATGAATGCCATTCAAAACTATGCCATGATTATAGCAAGCTATTATGCACCCACTGTATATATTTTATACATATATAGTATAAGCATAAGTGAGCTCTTTATGACCAACAGAGCTTCCAAATAATGACTTAATTGTCCGTGTGTTCTATTGTGTATGTATGTATATACTCAGAGGGACAAACAATGATGCGACATTTACAATGTCAGTGACTTTGACCTTCATTGATTAAACTTGAACTCTTTGTCATACTAAAATTGAGAGAGAGAGAGACATAGAAAGAGAGTTCACAGAACGTTAAGAGAAATAGTGGYCAGACATTGACTAACAAATTGTAATTAAATGCGGGGAAGATTTAATGTCAACATTGACATAGAGTGGTGTGGATGTGTTTACWTACAAACATATTAAAATAAATTTACTTGACTTTTGTATAGAGCAAGATGTAAAACTCAAGTTGTAGCCTCCGCGGSCGTCTGTGAGTTAACGTGAGTATTATATACGATGTCTTCCGTAATTACAACAACACATGTTTACCGTAATTAAATTGCAATTATAGTAAGCATGTGAAAAATCTCAAGCTGCGACTGTTGACTACAGATAGTGTTGATAACAACAAAAACAACAATAACATTAGACAACGTTAACAACAATAGATAACATTAAAAAAATTTAACATGGCGAAAACAATAACTAACGGCACACCATGAACTTGATGGCAARTGTCAGCACCTTCGCATGCGCATGCGCCGCTTCGCCAACTGATTGACTCCGCTGACTTGCGTTGACTTGATGCTGACAAGGAAGTTAACTTGACTTTTGTGAGACCGTAAGCATAGCTATGTAAAACCGTGCAAAATTTAATTACTTTCAACTAYAAAGTACTTAAAATAATAGTTATTGGAAGGTGAAAAATAGAGGGGATAGAGAAAGAGAGAAGCCGAGTGGTAGAGGAGATCGCTTTAAGTTTACTTAGCGCCTTAATATGCGTTGTAGATACATATATATTTAATATAACGGGTGATCCAAATAGAGGTGGTTTTTTCAATAGCTTTCACCTTACTTATGGTTAACATAATCGGCTTACTGAGCAGCATCACCCTTCTTAAGATGCAGAATTCATATATAATAATCGACTGAAGAGATTACGTCCAGTGAATAAAATATAGCAAGCGTGTAGCTGAGCGTATCCGCGAAGATCAYGTAGAGTCGATTCGCCGSCGTTCGCAGTAACTCGGCCTGACGTATGAAACGACTTGGCGCATTTTACGTTGAGATYTCAAATTGAAAGCGTACAAAATACAGCTTGTGCAAGAATTGAAACCGTTCGACCTTCTCAAACAACATCACTTATCTCTATGGGCTCTTGAAAAGTTGCAAAAAGAAATCCRACGTTTTCGAGCTAAACCTTCAGCTATGAGGCCTACTTCTGGCTCAATGGGTTTACAATCAAATAAAATTGTCACATTCGGAGCGAAGAGCAACCTGAAAAGATTCAGTGGCAGCCATTTCATCCGCCATGGTAACCGACTATTTGGTACCTGAAATTGACGTGTGTTTTTAACGAAGCGAATTTTTAACCACCATAGAAAAAAAACAGTTAATAATCACTTTATTATAAGTCCAATATGGATGGATATATAATAACCTCCCAAATAAGATCCCGGATTTTCAAGCCTCTCACTATGAATATGAGTGCTTTGGCATGATAGAAAACTATGCTTCTTCTCTTAGCCAAAATTGAACACACTCGATCCATTGCTCTTTCAGATGGTCCGGTTGATGACAGAACAGGTCCGAATTAAGAGGTTCGCTATATGGGTGCATCAYATAGTGGTTGAATCCCAGACGAACGTACCAAATGCATCTTACTTACTTACTTTTCATCACCAGCGACTATTCGATAAGAAATCGATACATTTTTTTGCTTTTCAGCAGCCATTCACAGATGAAATTTTGGTCTATGTGGTTTCTTTTTGGATTCAGTTTTATTTAAACGGATCCCAAAGATTTAGCTAATCGAAACAGTGCCTACATTATGGTGGGTCTTAGTGATACCCATTATTTTATCAATTTTTCAACACTTGGCTTTCCAGTGCGTGGTGTATCTTTGATATCAAAATTACCAGAACGGAATACCCGAAACCAAAATGCCTCATCTCTTATCAGTTTTCAGCTTGCGCTTTCATYGAAGAAAAATTAAGAATAAGGCGTATTTTCTCTTTGCTGTTCTTCATCTTTGACACGTGCTCAAAAACTACTGACCCGCTCAGTCAAAAAAACTTGTACAAAATATTATCTTTCTAACGGCATATAGCGTAAGCCGATCTCAGACAACCTCGTTCATAATAAACTATTAAGCGAATAATAACTATTTCAAGGTGGTCACATGATGGTGACGACGGTGTACTTTA